ATTGTGAAGCAGATCATAAAAATTTTAGAAAGCCCCCTTTGAAAAACACTTTTTTGGTATTTTGTTGAGTTTTTTTATTATCACTATAAGTAGCAGCTATGATCATCTGTTTTCAAAATTTTCCAAATATTATTATTGCTATAGCAAGCTTTGTTTGCTTAACATAATTTGCACCCCCATCCTTAAAGAGGGTGGGGCATTTGTCAATATCTATTAAATTGACCTACAAGTTACTCAAAACTGTAAAACTATATATAAAAAGATTTGATTGAATATTTACAGTACTTTACAATTTTTTTTATTCAAAGACGTAATTAAATAATAAAAGGCAAAAATTAATGAAAAATATTTTGTTAAATTTGAGCTATTTAATAATATAGTTAGCAATAAAAATAAAGAACTGGTGATTTCAAGGTCATAAATTTCATCGTTATTTTTAAATAAGTGCTTTCAAAACTTGATTCTCACAAGCTTAGCTAGGACACTTTTGACTTTATCAATCAATAAGTCAAAAAATGGGAGGAAGAAGGGGGAGGGTGAATCCGTAAAAAGTACCGTTTCTAAAAAATAAAAAAAAGATCCTTAAAAACTAAAATTTACTTGACTGAATTGTGTCAAATATCCGACTAGCCGACTATATTCGTTAAACAAAGGACTATAATTTCAAAATCAACATGTTTGTGGAGGTAGAACACCCCCTTTTCCCACACATCCTAGCCCTAAAATCGTCTTTGTATGCAATGTTTACACATAAAAATATTTTTTTCTTTAAACACTCTATGAAAATAATACAAAACAAAACATGTTAATCTAAAAAAGACTTTATTCTTTATATTTATATTATGTTATACACAAGCTCAAAAGACAAGCTAACTCAGAAAACATCTACTTTTTGTTGTTTCATAAAAGTACATTATTGAGCGTTTTATTGCTTTTTGATTATTTTTATCACCACCTTTATATAATATATACACTCAAAGAATATTAAATCAAGTTGCTTCAGATTGCAAAGTTGGAACAACAGTAAGTGGTGTATACACTGGTATTATTACTTATGCAGACGATCCTACTCTTTCTGGTTTACAAGAATTTGTTAATAAAGTTCATTCACAATGTCAAAATCTATATATCAAACACTAAAAAAACCGTATTTATTATATACGGTGAAAGTTCAATCACAAAAAACACAATTCAAATAAACGGTTCTTCACTACACCTCAATAACAAACTGATACACCTCGGATTCCTATGGGACAATACAAAAATCATACACAAAATATAGCTGCAATTCAGCAAATGTAAACGAACGTGTTATTCACTTTTAATCAATATCCAGAGCTCTTATAAATCTGGTATTCGTTTTTGTCAACCATTAACTGTAATACATTTGTTCAAATCTCTGGCTGTACCGAATCAAACGGCTTAGAAATTTGTTGTTATAATAATTCGCTTTTTAATAAATTGGACGCTGTTGGAAGGTTAGCATTAAAATTTCTCTTTAATATACCAAAGTATAGCAAAAACTACCTGCATCCCTTCTTTAAAATTAATGACATATCTACCATCCTCATTTGAAATTAAATCTGTTTATCAGACTATTAAACAATCGAACTTGTTTTTCCTTGATTTTGACTCAGATAATTGATGTTACTAAAGATAACCTGTTTATCAACATAGTAATGAAACTTGCAATCAACTTGAGCTAAACTTAGACCAGTGTTTGATAGAGGGAAAAAAAATAACAATTTGGCGTCGCTACGATGACATAGGAGACAATATAGCGGTAATTTTAAACCATTCTTTTTAAATTCTGATTGATTTTTCAACCTTTTCTCAAGAAAGTAAAATTTCTTGCGATTTAAAATCGAAATCAATCGTGTCTTTGATTAAATCTTGGATAATACTTGTTTAAGTTTAAATTAGATAATATAATTATCTATGCAATCTAACTCAAAATAAAAATATTTAATAACTCTATATTGCATTCTTTTGATGCAAAAAAAATTAGGGAGTAATACCGCATTGTTGAAATAATATTCGAAACTAAAGTTAAAATAATGCTAAATCAAATATTTTTTAAATTATGCAATTGTAGAAATAAGTAAATTTGTAACCTAATGTTTGTTGAGTATTGTTGGAGTCAAACTGACATTGTTGACGTTGGATCGACACAAAAGTTGTAGATTTAAAGAGGCAATAATGCCGACTTTAGATCTACCTTTGGCACCCCCGTATATGGGTGCCAGATCTAAGCTCGGCATTAAGTCACAGGTACTCTGTTCTGAACAACTCAGAAATAAAAAACTAAATGCTCAACTCAATAAACCACTGAATAACTGAATATGTTAAAGATGTTTACATGTCTACAATCCTTAAAATTAAAAAAAAATTGTTTCCTTGCCACTTTATAGATATTTACATGTCTACAATTGTATAAATTTAAAAAAAAATTACAGATGTAGAATCTTTTTTTTTTTTTTTTTTAACTGCTGTTTTAGATGCCCTAAGAAGACCTCACAGTTTTGTCACAGAGCTTTGTTATCCCAGAATTCATCACAGAGCACTGCGGAAGAGCATTTAAACTAGGAATTTGAGCAGCCGTGGTGGAGCGGTTAGAGTTCTGGCTCGGAACCCAGAAGTCCGATATTTAACGCCAGCTCCAGCCCAACAAGCGACATTGGTACGAAAAGAGGCGTGAACTTCTTGTTAAATGTTCTCCCGCGGTGCTCTGTGATGAATTCTGGGAGCACCTAAAATAACTACAAAAAAAAAGAAGAAAAAAAGTTCGCACCTTCTTCCTTAACAATGCACAGTGATTTAAAAACACTCAAAATTTGGCCAAAATACAGCATTTTAAGTAGCGCAATTTAAATAATGTTATGAGCCAACTATTTTTTACAGTTTCTTATGATTCTAATGCTATAAAAAGATAAGTGCTGAAGTTATAGATTTAAACGTTAATTTATGTTTAAAAGTGAACGAAAACAGCTTTTTTTTATTATTAAATTTTTATCATTATTAAAACTTAATTTTCTCCCTAAATACAAAACCTTTCATTTTAATTTTTATTATAAACAAAGATAATAGATAATTTTATCTTAATTTAATAAAATATTTGAAATTTATATTATTTATATACATTTATACTTCTTATAAGAAATGCATTTAAAAAATTTAATTTTCTCTGATACTAGACTTTTGGAAAAAATTTTAACAAGTTTAAACTTATTTTTATGTAGAACTTTTTAACTTAGACTTTCTTCACAAAGCTAATTCTTTTTTTAAAGAGAGTTTGTATCATTCTATAAAAAAACTAAAAAACTTGCCCCATTTTGAAATTAAAAATTAGCGACATAAAACATGTAAATTACCTTTAATTTTTATGTTTTGATATATATACATACATACATATATATATATATATATATATATATATATATATATATATATATATATATATATATATATATATATATATATATATATATATATATATATATATATATTATTATACAAAAAAAATTATCCCCCTGACCATATTTGACCCTTTTTTAAAGATATTTTTTTTTTAAAGATTTATAGTCTTCTATCCTTGAATATCTTTTTTACATCATAGAACGAATTTTTAGCAATTTTTAACAAACATTTTTAAAAAAGTTAATTTTGGTCTAACTTTAGTTATTCCTGATCACTGTGCAATGGCGCTAAATATGTCTGCAGCTCCCTTCGAACCCTGGGTCTGTTGCTGAAAAAGCAAGCGTTCTAACCGTTGCGCTAACGCTGCCTAATAGGTTTGATCTACCATTACTTCAGTAATGCAAAATTACCCTCAGAATTTTTTTTTTTTTTGCATGTAAACAATTGGCCTCAAAATTATGAGGTCCAATATTCAATGTTTATTCTGGCCGCATGTGACAGAGTGAGCCTCCATGTTAAATGCTCTTCTAAAGTGTTCTGTAACAAAATCGTGAAATTTCTTAAAGCCCATTAATAATCAAAAAAAAAAAAAGATCAATAATATACAAATACACAATCAAATAAGAAATCAATCATCACTAACTATAGTTGACAAATCATTTCTAAATTACCAGTAATGCATAGAATATATATAAGTTTATAAATTTTTTTTTAAGTAAGGGAATTTTAGAAAAGCGCTTCAAAAATATATTATTAAATGTATATTCAAAATATCTAATCTAAAGCATTTTTTTTTCTTCATTATATTCTTTAATGCAGAGGGAACAACTACAGTCAAAGAGGCTACTAGTTTTTTTTTCTTATATTTTTCATTACATAAGTATTTATTGGATATTTAGTTAGAAATATAGTTTCATTTCCTTACCTATGTTTCGAGCATTTGCTGAAAAGCAAGGCTTAGAACCGCGACACTTCGAAAGATTGTTGTATTTAAGCATAGCCGTGACAATGAAAAGATTTTTTAATAAATTTATTAAATTTCCAATAGCGTTTTTTCAAGTTTAGGTAGAACACCAAGAACTTTTTTAAGATAGTGTAAAACATCTATAGAAACCATTAGAAGGCTGGCGGCATCTGGTCATTTTCTTAATAAGCAAATACCCTTTAAATTTAACGAGATTTAAACTGTGTAAAAAGTTGACATTTTTTAATGGAGATTCTTTTGAATAAAAGCTTAGAAAACTGTGGATTTATAGTAAAAAGGAGTTTTTAAAATAAAACAGTAATAATAAAAAAATTTATGAAATTTTATTTCTTTTCTTTTATGTAAGCGTAAAACGCTTAAAACGCGCTCATTACACGTACAAAAATATATTTTAAACTGTTCTTAAAACAATCTATAATTGTAAATAAAGTTTAAACTATTGTTTATTTTTTCATTTTCAATAATTTTTTTATCAATATTGTAATTACAACTTGAGGATGTATTGTTGATATAGTACAATTAAAACTATGGTAACATCGGAATTTTGTTTTTTTAAATAAAACATATACGCCATTATGAACTGATTTTTTATTCTAAAACATTTGTTTACGACAAAATTTGTGTGAAAAAGACATCTACTTAGTTGGATTGAAAATTAGTTTATAAGAAATTTAAAAAAGAAAGAAAAAAAGCAAAAAAGTGTTATAAAAGGCATAAGAAATATTGCTATAGTTTAATATTATATATATTTAAAAATGTCGTTTATCTAAATGGTGAGTTAGTTTTATTAAATACAATTAAACTGTTTCAATTATACTCTTTTGTTATCAACGCTGTAAATAAAACTTAAATTGGTTTTGCAATGCTTTTTTTTGTTGTTGTTTTCTTTTAAGTTATGTCCCATGTTTAAATTTTTATGGGATTTTATTATTATATACTTATAGTTGTTGAAAACATCTGTAGCTTTTATATGAAAACAATATGCATAAGTACAATAGAACTGATTCTCTTTTTCTAGCAGATATCTTGATGAAGTTTGAATTTGTTTATAAAAAAGGAATTGAATTTTCTTGAAAAGTTTTTTAATGTTTTGATAAAATAGAGCAAAGGAAAAATAATATTTTGTATCAGCTTGATCTAATTTAGCTGTTAGTGTATGCTTTTAGCTAGATAACATACATAACACAATATTGCTTTTACACTGTTTTTTCCAAAAGTCTAGTATCGGTGAAAAACTAATAATTAAATATAACATTTATTGTTAGATTAATTTACACGTTCAAGGTGTCAGTTTTAATATTAAAAAAAAATTCTTTATTTAAATGAAAGCAAACTTAAATGTAAGTAGATATATTAAGTATTCTAAATTATTGTTTCATTATAGATTTATTTTTGTTCAAGGAAAAAAATGATTAATTTATTGAACTATTTTTTAAATTCAAAAATCTCTTTTTTTTTTTTTTTTGGTGAGTTTTATTATTATTTTTTTAAGTTTATTTTTACAATACAGAAATAAATTTTGATTTTAGCAAAACCAATTTTTACAATTTGGATACAAAATTAAATACATTTTTTTGCCCAGAATATTTATAAACTAACAAAAAATTTTCATTAAGATGTTTCAATAAGTAATGCATTTTGTATCTCGCTAGTTAACAAATGGTTTAAAACTCTATATTTGTTATATAATTGTTATAATGATTGTTTTTATATATTATTATTGTTATAATTAATGCTAATATTTTTTACAAATAAATTTAGTAATTATATTTCTTATTACAATTAAGGTTGTTTATTATTATTATTTATTAGTATTATTATATATATATATATATATATATATATATATATATATATATATATATATATATATATATATATATATATATATATATATATATATATCTTTAAATAAATCATGATTGTAAAATATATGCACATAATATATAACTATGCCTAATATAAACTGTATATATTTATTTGTATATGGTTCTTGATGAGCTATGTGTTAGTTTTGTTGAAAAAATGATAACTAAGTTTTATTTGATTAACATATGACTTATGGTGTTTTTTCAATTTACTTTGACCTAAACTTGAAGAAATTGATTTTGAAAATTTTATTGTTACTTAAGCAACTAATTTAGGCTCAGACACAATGCATGTTTATATATAGAATTATTGTAAATTTTATTAAACAAAAAAAATTTAAAAAATCTTTTTATTAAATCAGTGTATTGCAATTTTCAATATGTTGATTTGTTTTTAAATCTATTATTTAAAGAAATCATTTGTAACATTCCATTTTTATGTGTGCATAGCATGCTCAGATTTGCTCAATTGAAAATTTAATTTAAAAAGCAACATTAAAGAGTGAGTAAATTTTTCAGCTAATTTCTCTCGATTTTTTTTTTATTTTTTTTATTTTTTTAGTTTTTATAAAAATGATTTGAGTGCAATGTGGAATTGTACTAAAAACACTTATAATACAAATAAAGTTTGTCCAGAGAATGGAGAAGCAAAAATAAAACAATTTTCTAAAGTAAATGGATGGACATGTCCACTACATCCTTTTCAAATCCTTGGTTGGTTTTTCATTATACTGTTTGCAGTAACTCACTTTTCTATACTCGTTTATTATCTTCCACTTGAATGGATCTCTGCTGGAATAATTGTATCTTTTTTTATATATATTTTATATGGCAACTTGATTAGTTTTTTTAAATATATGCAATAAAAAAAAAAAATTAAATAGATTTAAAAAAAAAATTGTTTATGCTGTGATTATTATTATTGTTGCATCACGCATTAGATTTGTTTAATTTGTTTTTCTAGTTTTAAAATATTTTTAAATTTTAAGATTTAAAACATAATTTAAATAATTTTTACAATAGTTAAAAATGTAAATTTTGCAATTGATTTAAGCAAAAATTGCTTAAATTATTCAAGTCACAATTCTAGCAACTATTTACCATTGTTTTGACATTTTACCTAACAAAAGTTAAAATAAGTTACAATTATTCTTTTAAATATCCAGAAGCACTGTTTAGAAAAATTACAACAATTTCTTTGTTGTAATTTTTCTAAGCATATCAATTTAAAAAATATATAATATATTTTTGTGAACAATTTAATTTCTTTCTTTAAGACATTAAAAAATATATACTTAAAAACCATAGCAAATAACTAATCTTATGAATTCAGTTCTATGAATTTTTTTTACAGACATATAGGATTTTTTTACTTGCATATAGGGTGGCAACAAGTCTAAGAAATAAACTCTTGTTTTATTTAGGTCTGGAGGTTTCATTTCAAAGATTGTAAAAATTGGCTCAATGCAAATTGATCATTTTAAGTTTATTTATTATTATTATTATTATTATTATTATTATTATTATATATATATATATATATATATATATATATATATATATATATATATATATATATATATATATATATATATATATATATATATATATATATATATATATATATATATATATATATATATATATATATATATATATATATTAAGTTTTATTATTAAATTAAAATAATTTTTTCATGAAGATGGAATAAATTATAAAATTATTTTTTGTTTTGATTTTTCTTAACAAACACACAACAGATTCCAGCAAGTGGTTATGTGATACACATTTTTTATCATCTCTTCGCTGTAACTCTTGACCCTGCTGATCCAGCTGTAAGAGGAAAAACGACTAAAAAACCTGCTTTTGATCGAAAAAAACATTCTCGTGTTATAGAAAATTGTTACTGCTATATTTGTGAGGCACATGTGTAAGCATAGTTGTTTAAATTGTTGTTGTTAATATTTTTTGCATTTTATTAAGTTTAAATATAACTATTTTATATATTGTTTTTAGTTATTATATTTATTTGGTTTAAATAAAACATTAAAAAACAGACAAAAAATTGTTTATTGACTTAAAACAATAATAAATCTTTTTTTGAGAAATATAAAAAAGAAAAGTACATTGTGATTGACAGTTGTTTTTCAAACCTACAGGATATAAATGTTGCCAGTCTTCTTATTATTATTAAACCCTGTAACAAAAAAAAAACAAAATTTTGTTTGAAACAAAAAAAGCAAGGTTTTGTTTGAAACAAAAAAAAACAAGGTTTTGTTGAGAGTTTAGTTATTATTTAAAATTTTATGATTTAGTAATTTTTTTTAATTGAATATTTTTTTTCTTTTTGTAAGATTAGGGAGATAAGTATTTTTACTCCTAAAACACCAACAAAATGCTAAAAACACTATATAAGTTATGTTTTGATAAAAATATGGCATGTTTGTATATAAATACATTTTTTCATGGTGAAATAATGAAGTAACAATAATATAATCTTATAATAAATTAACACTGAGATATGTTTTAATGTTGCACTAGTATTGGCAAAAGGAAATATGTTTAAAAAAAGTAATTAAAAACGCTATGTTAACACTATGGTAACTATGTTGTTACACTTGAAAGTTTCACTATAAAATTTGATTGTGAAGTTAATTATAATTATGTGAAAAAACTGCAAGATACTTCTTTTTGCTAATTTCCAGTATTGCAGCCATATTCAATTAAAAAAAAATATTGCAGAAAATGTTTTTGTCTTATTTTTAGATGTCAATTAGAGTGTAAACAATCGTTGTGTGAAACAATTAGAGTGTAAACAATCGTTGTGTGAAACAATTAGAATGTAAACAATTGTTGTATGAAACAATTAGAGTGTAAACAATTGTGTGACAATTACTTTGACACAGACTAATTATCCCAACTTTTATTTAATAAAATGTTGCATAGTATTTTACTATTCTTTCAATTATCTTTAATATTTTGTGTAGTTCTTCAACAACAAAACATTGTTCTGTTTGTAATAAATGTGTGTCAGATTTTGACCATCACTGCAAGTGGCTGAATAATTGCATTGGTGGAAGGAATTACAAGTTAGTTTTTTTATATTTTAAGCATGCTTTTTAATTATTAGTATTAGTTTTGATTTTATTTTTTTTTTGAATATCCTATTCAACATGTTTTTATGTGAAGTGGTTTTCTTTGTCAAGTTTTGTGTTTCAAATTTAAACGGTTAACTTATTAACTATATTGAGAATTAAAAATTGTGAATAATATCTAATATTTGCAACACAATATAAAAGAGTTTTAATTTTTAATTTTCAACTTTTTAATTATTTATATTTTGTCCTTTAAATCAATTTTATATTTTGAATTGATATTATGACAGTGGTTTTATAGATAAATATCTTGAAATATGTTTAAAAAATAATTTTTATTGTATGTATATACATTTTTTTTAAAAATTGTTACATACCGCTTGCAACCCTATTGGTTCAAAACATGAACCTTGATAAACAAGGTTGTTGGTCGGAGAAGTTGGACATAGTTCTACCATGGGTGTGTTTGGGATTGAACTTCTTGTTTATGAAGCAAGCACTGTACCTAGTAAATGACCGGGTTTGATATTTGACATAAACATTAATACATCCTAAAGTATATTTTTTAAATTTAAAATTCATGTTATATTATATATATATATATATATATATATATATATATATATATATATATATATATATATATATATATATATATATATATATATATATATATATGCATATTATACATCATTATGATTAACATAATCATCATAATCATCATTATCATCATCATCACCATCATCACCATCATCATCACCATGATCATCATTATCATCATCATCATCAACAGCATAAAAGTGGAAAGCTTGACAATGATAATGAGATCATTATCCTAATGATTATCACATCTTTTTTATCGTCATCTTTATCATCATCATCATCATCATCATCATCATCATCATCATCATCATCATCATCATCATCATCATCACCATGTGGATCTAAATTCGGTTTTGCAACAATAATTTTTCACTTTCATTTTCGTATAGTCACGGTGCGTAAATAATTTTTTTTATCTAATATGAGTTTTTTTATTTATTCTACCCATAAACTTTTAGAATTAAACAATTTCAAACTTTTTAAACTATGTTTTTGTTTTGCAGGGGTGTTTTCATAAACTTCCGGTTGCAATTCCGATTTAGTCATTTTTTCATAAAAGGGGTGGCGGGAAGCCAATTTTTTTTTTCGGAGATGTTAGATACCCAATTCAGGGTTCCATCACCCAATAAATTTTAAAAATCCCTATTCTCAAGTTTGGGTATTTCTATTATCATAAAAAACTTTTAAATTAAACTGGTTGACAAAGATATTGAAGAAATATTTACTTGAAATCTTGAAAAAATGCATTTTTTGCTTCTAATAATGAGATCGTTTTTTTTTTTTTTAATTGTTGAGATAGGTTTTTTAATTGTTTTAGTAGGTATTTATTTAATTTTATATGAAATCTCAGAAAATGGTTTAGTTTTTATAGTTAAATAATCTTTTCATATACTTAATGACGATGAAAGCTTTGAATGTGAAGTTACCGAATAAAAAGGTTACGTTACCGAACAAATTTTTGAAAATCTATTTATTGTGAGGTTAAATTAGTAAAATCTCAAAACCAAAACTAGTTATGCTATTTTAATTCTAGAAGACACTAGTTAGAAATTAGTTTTGATGTGGCTATATTGTTTTCATATATTAATTTATCATATATACCCCCTTAACCTAGATGCCCCCCTTTTCCGCTGGGCACATTGTCAAAGTTTTTTGCGTTACTCTGGCCCACTACTATTTAGTTGGAGCACTTTGGCATGATACAAAAATCTTTTTAACTGCTTTAAATCAGTTTCCTTGTTTTAGTGCTATGATTTGGTCCCATAAAATCAGAATATTACTGATAAGTTCTTAAGGACAAAACAAAATTGTCTAATGTTAAATGTAACTACTTATCCTTTTGTTTTGTTGATCCCTCTCTTTATAGGGTGTATGATTGCTGTTTGCGTTATGCTGGACCGCTACTATGTAGTTTGAGCACTTTGGCATGATACAATAAATCTTTTTAATCAGTTTTCTTTTTTTTGTTGTTTGTTTATTCATTCCTCAGTAAATACTCTGCAATTGCTTAGAGTTGATAACCACATTACCAAAATGCCATTTAATACGCACATATGATAGAAAATTAAATCTCATTTTATTGCAAATTATATTAGGAATTATTTAATATGCGAGTATTGTGGAAACAATGTACTTTTTTTTGCCTCCGTGCTTACCACAAGAATTCCACTTAAATCCGTGGGACATCATTGCTTTTAAACAATGTTACTTTATGTAGAATCTTTCATCCTTTGGAGATTTTTGGATAACAGAATAACCACAAAAAAAAAAATTTCAGAACTGTAACAAAACTTTAAAAACCTCCATTTGTTTCAAATAATTAAATATATTTCTTACAACGTAAATATCGCTAAATATGTAGATCTTTCATAAAAAAGCAGAAAATTGTCGAAATTACGTGAAAATAAAGCATTTAATACCTACACTTGCAACACGATTTTTTAAGTTATAACAATGTTTAAGTTTTGAAACTTAGCAATTGTCTGTCAACCCATGAAATAAAGGTAATGAATTAAAATCTCTGGAAACAAACAACATTTAGCCTTTTTATTTAAGATTTTTTGCTCTTTGCAATATTTTCAGGTGGTAGAGCTAGGTCAAAACACTAAAAAGGCAAAAATCAATACATTTTTTAAAAATTTTTACATTCATTCCCTTCATTTAGGTATTTTGAATAACTCCTGAAAATTTGAAGTAAACTGCTTGACCCAATATCAACATATCACGTTGATATCTTAATATTGGGTCTGAGAAATAAGATAAATAAAATACAAAAGCATAAAAAATTTAAAATCCACTAGGTAAATAAGCTTTTTTTATTTCAAATTAACTACCACTTCAAGCAAAAATCTTGTAACATTTTTTGGACATTGAGACCATATTATGTTATTAAGTCCTTCATTACAATTTTGTATCTCTCCATGAATGCATTTTTTAAGAAGAGAATCATCAGATAAGTCATCAAAATCTTTCTTTATAACATCATAAATCCATAGAGGAATATTTACTTTAGGCTTGAATTTATCAATTCCTTCTTCACTATTCTTCCACCTACACTAACTATTTAATCCTCTAGGACATAGTACATGACGCTGCATTTTGTCTAAAAAAGTTAGTACAATGATTTAAAACAGCTCTTATACCTTTTTTTAGTTTGGTATACTTTTTCATCATCGTTTAAACTTTTATTGTTTTTTCTTTGCTCTATTAAACGATTTCCCACACACATTTGTATATGCTGTGATTGTATTGCAGTGATATTACAAAATAGTCCACAGTTTCCTTGATTGGAACTATAACTTTTTCATTACTTAATAATAAAATTGAAGGGTTCAAAAAAATTTAAAAATACTTAATAACAATCATATACCTTAAAAATAATACTTTATTTAGTGATTTTTAATCAATAAATTAAGAGAACGTCAAGGCAGTTGAAGCTTTAACACAATTTTTTGTTAGTACAATCAATTAAGTCAAATTATGGTTAAAAGTGTAGTAGGGTTGTCTGTTTGTATTAATCAAATCATAAATGTTTTCATAGTTAGGCCATCTTTGGTTAATAGATATTTATTCCTAAAGTGTTCCAATTAAGGTAACTCTCTCCTATATTTAAACAAGGTTTTGCGGCCGATTGATTTTTAGAAATCAGCTTCAAATAGAAGCTGATCAGCCTGTAAGAGAGACTCGTTACAGTGTAAATTTTTTTTAATACTTAATTCTATATTTACAATTAATTCAAATAAAGCATTATAACTCATACGCTATTATTTATACGGCGCTATTTTAACGAAAAAATCCACTAACGTAAAATTAGAAGCATTTCCTTTGATCTTACTTAAATAAAATTGTAAAAAGAGCAGTTTAGAAGTAATTTCTTTATGGTATCTCTCACTTTATAAAGTTATAATAAAATCTTTCTCAAGTTATAAATATAATTAAGATTAGAGTCATGGACCTTTTAAACAAATTTATTAGCAATCATCAACTTAACAAAAAAAATTTCAAGCAAAAAAAAATAAAAGTAAGAAATTCTTACAAAACTTTGAATGTAATAAACTTTAAAATGTTAAAGTATTATAAACGTCAAGATATACAAAGAATTACTTTTTTTTCATTCTTAACTTTGCCTTTTCATATCGTATTTTTGTAAGAATTTGTTTTATTGAAAATTCATTAAGCATCTCTTTTGCTTTTTCAGTTTGGTTAATTTTATTATAAACATCTTTTTCAGTTGTTAAAAGTTTACCAGCTATTTTGTTTGAAAAAATAATCCTGATTAAGTTAGTATACTTTGTTGGAAAAACAACTTTTTTTGTCATGCACTCTTTTTTATTGAGTTCTTGTAAATCTCCTTTTAATGCAATTTTTTGAAGATGGCTTAATTTGTCGTAAACTTGTTTGGTATTGCGGTTTTTTAAAATATTATTTCCTGAAATCATTATTCGTATGTTAGATTAGCTAAATGATCTTGTAGAATCGATTTTGAAAATTTTTTTTAATTCATCCACTTCAAGCGTAGTCCAAAAAATTTTTTTACTTGTCATCAACGAACCTGTAACACCATCCCAATCGCTTTCATTATCATCTTCCTCATTCTCACTAAATAGATCGTTATCTGTAACATTTGATATCGGACTTCCAATTAAAGAATTGTTGGGCACTGCATTTTCAATGGTATAAATGTCTGGTTGGGAGCCAAAAATTACATTTGAAATCTTTTCAGAAGTGCCAGAAACTTCTTTTTTAGTTTGGTTTAAATAATACCATTTCTCTCCAGTACTTTGTTTGTGCTTCATTAAAGTAGCAAGGTCTTTTTTCATATCAGGGTAATTATTATAAAAAAACGTTAATAAACTTTTTCTTATTAAAGTAGCACTAACGTTTCCAAGGCTAACACTGTCTGGTAAACATTTTGAAAAATATGAACTTAACTGGGTTAATACACCACCTGATTCCTAACTACATCCTGACCATGTAACAAACATATTTTCTGATTTATGTCCTGGAACACCATTTCTTATAATTTTATAAAAGCAGTCACATAAAAATTTAAGTTCTGAATTAATAACAATTTGGCAGGGTCCATTATTTTTAAAGGTCTTGTGTTTTCACACCAACTCCTTTTAAATACTCTTCTAATGTCAGATTTGCGATAGCTCCCGACCAAGAGATATTATCACATACCATTTTAAAGAAAATGCAGTCTCTGGTATTTGTGTATAAACTGCGTGTTAAAATAAATTTGTTTGGTTTTAAAGAGTATTGACAGTGTATCTCTTTATTTTTTTTATAACTGTGACATTGAAGTTGCTATCAAGAATAGCCTTAAAGTATTCTTTTGGGATCATTTTTTCACCGCCTTGAATTAAAACATCAAACTGCCTCTCCTCCTCCTCAGCTCTCAAAGATTGTCTCCATTTAGAAATTTCGCTCTGACAAACAAGCATAACATCAGCCTCTACTTTAGTGACTGGTACAACATAAGGAACATTTGGAGTTAATTTTGAACAAATTAAGAAATCTATGAAGTGGC